AAACAGCGCTTTATTGGAGAAAAATCACAACACTTTTCTGCAAACTGTTGTCAGAGGGAACCTACAACCGGGAGGGAGTGGGCATGGGGCCCGTGGGTGACGTCACCGCGCTCACCTTTCAAAAATAATAATAATAATAATAATAATAAAAAAAAACATTCCAGCAAGAAAGAGCAACGTGAACTTACACTCAGACAGGTACAGGACAGCCATGGAGTCTTCAACAGTTTATTAGAAAGAATGTAGACATTAAAAAAATCCCCACTGCTCTGAACAGAAATTGAGGTTTTTCAGCCTTGTTATAAGCTGGTCGAATAAACTAACAAAAAACCCAATAGTGTATAGTAACGCTTTGTCACTCGTTTCCATACCAACAGTGCAAATACAATTTGGTCTAAATGTACAGATTGACAAGCAACAATGTACAGCCACTCTCACCCCCGGACTAAAGAGATGTAAAGCTTTAGGGTAAACGATACCAAATGGACAGGCTTCACCCGGCGAAGTTAGGGCGTCACTAGTTGTAGCTAGAAGCCGTCTGGAACACGAACTAGTGATTAAATACAAAGTGAAGTGAATTTTGTTTCCTTTTTTTAATAAAACATTAGTGGAACAGACCCGAAGACACTGCAGAGGTATTGCAGGGTACCTGTGAAAATCTGCAAGCCAATTAAACTAACATTGTTTGAGCCAGGTTTGAGGTAAAAACTAAAACTTTTGGATTTACCTGCAGGCCACAACAGAGGGGAAATCACTAATTTACCACTTGGCGTAAATTCGGAATTCTCCCATTGAAATTACACCTGCTATGAGGCAAGGAGGCCCTGTAAACTTTTTATTGCAGCTGTTCTGTATCGACTGCCTACACCTCAACTGGTTTTTGGAAGTCTGGAAAACGGTTCATGCATAAACATTATTGCCTCTTGCGGCTTAAGACTGCCTCATACAACGGTACACGCCAACCATCAGTGAAGCCATTTAAAATGGACTGGAAATGGGTTAAAGGATGCAGTATCTCCCTTTAGGGCTATCAACTCAGGAATTCTTATCTCAATTATGAAATGTTGTGATGAAGTTCTTTCCCCAAACCCTGAAGACAACAGTTTTTCTTACTCCAGATCTGGCATTTCTAGGGAGGAGAAAAAAATAAAAGTACCAGTTAAATGAATATATATTTTTTTCGCCATTAGCTCTCAAGAGCCTTATTATATCACTAGGCAGAAGATGGTCTTTGACTAAGAAATTAATAGGACATTTTAAACGAGTGCTCAGGGCACTGCACAAGCGTGCAGAACTAACCAAAACCCAACTTACTTTCATCATCACTGTCTGGTGAGTCCTGGAAAGGAGAAGAAATAGCAACATGAGCAACTGGCTTGAAGGAGTTTTGGTTTCTACCACTAACTGAACAACAAACTGCTTTTTCCATCAGAGGCTTCCGACGGTCTCCGTCCCAGACCCGTTTCTTCAGGACACGCTTTAGGGAGGCCTCAGTACAAAATCTACAGGGCAGTAACCCCCGAGCTGCTGCAGGAAGCTGCACAGCCCCAGCGAGCAGCAGCATCGCTGCTGCAGGGGAGAGGAGGCCGGACAGGAGGCTCAGAGCTACTTTAAGCTCTCGGTGATGCCGAAGTGGGAATGCGAGTCTGGCTGCAGCAAGGAAGGCGCGGGCTGCAAACGGAGCAGGTACTTACATCATCTGCCCCGTCTACTTCTGGCAAGTCTACGTCCTCGTCGCCGCCCATGTTGTTCATCATCTGCACAGAGAGATAACGGCCACGTTAGAGGCAGCTACCGAAGGGACCTCCGGTCTCTACCCGACCTAATGAAACACAAAGCTAAAAAGAGCTTCAGTTTTGTTAAAACCAGCAGGGGTTTTTGCATGTCTTGCTACGCCAAGGCATAAATTGGGGCATAAGCCTGCAAAAAAGGGATTTAACTTCTTAGCAAAGACTAGGGTGTTAGGAAAGCCTGGTTCCTGCAAGGGCACTCGTCCCACGCTATGGGCATCGACTTCACAAAGAGCAGAGAGAAGAAAAAAATCAATAAAAATGATAACAATATTAATAAGCTCTGCTTAGGGCTGCTGTCTCTGCTTGCCGGCAGCCCCAGCCCAAAAGGAAGCCCCCTCCTGCGTGCCCTGTACCTCGGAAAAGCGATCGAAATTGGACATGTCTTCATCTGAGTCGTCTTCCCAGTCTTTCCAGTTGTTGAAGTCCACGCTGAGCCAGTTGAGCTGCACATCAACACACATTTGTCTGCTCAGGGGCGAGCCCAGAACAAGCAGACACCACTGAGCAGAGGAAGGTTACTAAAACCCGCTATTCTGACCCAAAACACGGCGCCTTACCCATTAACTACATCACTGACACACGAAACAAGCGTCAAAACCAGGGGGGCTCCCGCCACAGCCCCACGGGGACCCAGACCCACCTTTGCCCTCTCTTTCGTTAGCCTGGGCCATGCCTGACCAGATTCTCCTTTTCGTAAACAGCATAAGATGGACCTGTCTGTTCTTTTATGCTTTGACTCCTGGAAAAGAGGAGAGGGGACACTTGTTGGTGCAGCTGACGGGCACGAACACCCAGAACTGCTTGGCTTAAGGTAAGCGAGTGGAGTTTATCGCTTCCTCCTTGTTGTCACAAGATAACGCTCATGTTTTAAATTACTTCTCTAGTGCTATAAGCACGTGAGAAACTCGGATCCATAAAAGCATCTTTGAAAAGCTGCTGCTGATCTGGAACTTGTCAAAATAACCCCAAATCACACATACACTTTTAACAGGAACAATTCTGCACAGCAAACGACCAAAAAGGGCAGCAGGTAACGAGGTACTGATTTTGCTTGGGCTGGCATGAAGCAAACCCAGCCCGGAAGGTTTCTGTGACACCCCTTGCTGCCTGCACGTGCGAGGACAACGCGGCTGCGGCAACAGGGGCATAATCAAAACTAGAAACCTCTAAGATTCCACCCTCAAGCAGCAACAACTCCAGAAGATGCTTCTCTCCACCGTGTAAAGAGTTTCCCTCAAGAGATCTGGAGAGTTTCTATTATCAGAGGAGATTCTTTTTTGCTCCAGTACAAACTAGTATTAGGTACACAAGAAAGAAGTCCAAGGAATACTTACATTTGGATCAATATTATTAAAAAGGTCAATTTCATTTAAATGTTTAAAGTTATCACTTCCTCCAAGACAACTGTTAAGAGAAAAGAAGTTATGCTCATGTTTAGTCGGAAACATCTTGTAGCATTAACACGTTTCAACAACAGAATTGGCTATTTTAAGCAGTGCTACTTCACCCGTTTCGGTGCAGCTCTGGCCTCTGCACATGCCCCAGTTACTCACCTGAACGTGAGTTTGGATTTTTCAAAATTTACATTAACATCTTTGCTGTCCTCGACGCAGAACTCGATGAAGACGTAGTCTCTTCGGTCGTACCACTTCGCGGAAGCGGGCTGCCTGCGAACACAGAAACGCACGGTGAGCCCCGCGGCTCGGAGCGCCGTGGCGCTCCGCGCGCCAGCGACCTCCGCGTTGGCTTCTCCTGCATTCCGGCGCGTCCCAGGCCGCGCGGCCGCCTCAGACAGGCTGCACGGGGACGCGGAAGCCGCGGGGTGTGTTTGAACACGACGGAGCAGGTTCCGCTTCGCGCCCCAGGGAGCAGCCGTTGCGCTCGGGGTTTGCCTCGAGGCCTCCCAGCGCAGGAACCCGCTTAGGGCGGAATTGGAGACCCGCGCTCCCCCGCTCCCGGCTCCGGCCCGTGTCCGTGCAGGAAGCGGCTGGCGGAATGCGGAGCTCTCGGCTCCGCTCTGGCCGCACGAGCTCTCATGACAGAGCAGCAAACCCGAGCGGTTTCCGCACGCGGCCTCTGGCAAAGTGATGCTTCCCTCCTTAGCGGCACTTCCAGGGAATCCCAGGGCAGATATCCACTTATCCAGGTGCAGCCCACGTTCAGAGGGCAGCAACGTTATCGCTTTGGTGCCTTTAATTCTTTATGGCCTCCCTTGCTAGCAGGGGAACGAAAGACTCTTGGAGGGGAGAAGGGGACTGCTCCCCCCATGGCCCCCAAGCCCCATGTTCAGATCTCGTGCCGCTTCCCGCTGCGGGAGCCCGGGAATCCCGGCGCCTCCATCCCCGCTCACGTGCGCCCTTCTCGGAACAGGGCCCTCAGTGTCCCCCTGCCAGCACTCGCGGACGCTCCCGGTGTCAATGGAGACGTCCCCGGGCTCCCCCAGCCCCGACGTCTTGGCCAAGACCAGCCCGTGGCAGATGCGCCATTTATGGCCAAAACTTGTCACTTCTAATTGTTTTTAATTATTTTTTGAAACCTCCCTTTCCGCCACCTTGGGAGGCGCCGGCAGGTGGGAGCCCCTCAGACAAACCGGTACGGCGGGATACGTTAGAGCTTTTAGATGGGACTTTAAGACTTTAGATGGGACTTTTAAGTCCCCAACCTCTGTCCCAAGGCTCCTAGGAGACGAACGGACACGGAGGGCAACGGCAAAACGCGGGCCAGCTCCTTCCGTGGGCCCCCAAACATCACCGTTTGCTACACGGAGCCTAAAGCTTCCTCCACCTCCTCTCAACTAAAGTAACCCTCGAAGAGCGGAATATATTAATTAATATTAATAAATAATATTAATAATATATTACTGCAGCCTTATGCCAACGGTGCCAACTTGAACACGTGTTTGAGCTGAGTTTCATCCCAGTCCTGCTGGGATTTGGGTTCGTGGGGAACAGGGACACCACGCGACACCCCCAGGACGCGGGTTTTCCGGCCGCGCTCCGCGGATTCTCTCAGCGCCGCCGCACGTGTTCCGGCAGCTTCCGGAGCCGCTCGGCGTCCGAACCGCCTCCTCCGGTGCCCGTTTTCAGGCGGCGGGATGGCACAAGCTCGCCGGGTGCGCGTGCTCGGCCGGTGTCGATTCCAGGATTCCGGCAGCGCCGCTTCCCAGCGGTGTCTTCATCCACCGCCACGGAGCGCCGGGGTAGATTTCCCTTCGCCCCGACCCCCACGTGCTTCTCCTGGGAGCGAAGCCGGGCCCTGGCCCG